TGCCAGGTGATGATAAGGGAAGGATAAAATCATGAAGGGATAGGTGAATGGAGTGGGGGCAGAGAATTCTCTGATATGGTGACATTCGATGAAGACCCGAATGACAGATCTGTGAATTCCCTGAGGCCCAAGACTATCTTCTTCACATTTGCTTCTGTGCCAGGGTCTTATAATGTAGGGCAGGAATCGTGTTTATTACTAGAATATGAGACTCAGTTGGCAGAGGCAGCAATAGTCAGATATTGTGGAAGTATAAGTAATGTATATAACCCCATGAATACTGGTCAGCATCAGCTACCTGCCTAATCTTTCTTAAGTGTCCTTTCTGCTTTTAGAGTACATGGAAATCACGTAGCTCCTTCTGCTTAGAGCTTTTTGGAGTACTACATGCCATCTGTCACTCCAATAGCAATTTAAGATATTTTTCCTTTGTAGCATGAGACCTTGAATTAAAATTGAAAATGTATATTTCATATTTGGTGAAACCGAGGGTCAACCTGCATTCTGCCAAGGGTAGGGCAGGTGTTTATGTGCTTGTGTGTACCTGTTCTGCTCTCAGAAACTAGCTGTTCAAGGCCTCGCTCTCAGAGCAAAATACCTCAGAGCTTTGGGGATTTGTTTCCAATTCTACTTCTCAAAGTGTCTTACGTTTCCTTATCCTGACTCACTTTCTCCTTCGCCTTTCTTCCCTTTTAACATTAAAGATGTTGACATAGCTTTCTCCTGTGGATCTACTGAGAAGTAGGATCGTTCTCATTTCTGACCTACCTTTAGCCCACTCTCAGAGAAGGCTTATCACGCTTGATCTGACACTCGGCAAGATTCCAAAAACAAATGACTGCACAGAAGGGCTCTTTGTGTCCTTGAGTTGCTGAGTCTCGGCTGCAAGATCAGAATTTGAGAGCTCTTCATTTACTTATTTTATGGTGCTCCTTTTGCTCTGTCACACATGTCCTTTACCAGCCCTGGCATTACCTTTGCAAAGTGCAATCCACACAAAGGATCACTATTGCAATTTGTAGTTACGTGCCTCAAATTTCCTGTAGATGACATTCTTCGCAAGCATTCTTGCTGGATACTTTTTCCAGCAATCTAATCTGGGGGCATGCTGGTAGTGATAGCAGTGCCTTGTATTTGCTTGTTTGTTTTTCATGGAGCTGAAGAAAATCAGATAGTTTCAAAGCATGACCAAAGTGCATGTACAAGGCACGGCTGCTCTGGGGAAGGTGGAAGCTCGCTCTTCTAAACAGGGCTCATGCTCAGGCTGTGTGCCTGTTCACTTTCCCCATCATAGCTGCTTTCCCAGAAGGCCAGTGCTATAAGACACAGGTGGTGCTATAAGACGCAGGTGGCTTTGGGGCCTAAATTATTTTCCTGCTGTAAGAAAGTACCACAAACTGGGTGGCTTCAAACAACAGAAATATATTCTCCCACAGTTCTGGAGGCTAGAAGTCCCAAATCAAGGTGTCATCCAGGCCATGCTCCCTCCGAGACTCTGGGTAGAATCCTTCCTTGCCTCTTCTTAGCTTCTGGTGGTGGCCATTGATCCTTGGTGTTCCTTGGCTCATAGCTGCATCACTCTAATTTCTGCCGTTTTAACACATGCTATTCTCTCAGTATGTCCCTGTATCTTCTTATAAGAACACCAGTCATAAGAACCCAACTCCGGTATGACTCATTTTAACTAATTACATCTTCAATTTCCAAATAAGTCACATTCTGAGATAATAGGGATTAGGACTTTTGGGGTACACCACTCAACCCAAATAGACCCTCTTCAGTTGAAATTCAATGCCAGCTACTTCGAAATGATAGAGAAGAGGGTGGTCTGGGGATAGACAGGAGGGACAAGTATGAGATGAGTTACTTACCAGGAGGGCACCTAAACCTGTCAGGACAAGACAAAGTGGCAGGACACAAAGTAGCAGGCTCCCAGCCAGCTTATACTTTATATTCTTAGGCGGTGTTTCATGTCATGCTATCGATTATAGGTCGTGCAGAAGTCAAGGAGCATCTCTCCTGTCTTAGGGCTCGTGGCAGTTTAACTGTTTGAAAATTTCATGTTTCAGGGAATTCTAGAATAAAGGAAGAAATTTAATTAACTGAGTGACCCTAAATGTTAGTTGAAATACACTTTTATCCCTTTGTGGATACACTTGTGTCCATAGTGTGGTAGGTTGGTAGGTGGACTAATGACCCCCTCAAGAGCTGCCCACATGCTAATCCCTACAGCCTATGAATGCTACCTTATATAACAGAGACTTTGAAGATATGATTAAGGTAAGAATCTGGAGGTGGAGAGAATATCATGGATTATCCAGGTGGACCTTCAGTGCCATCACAAGTGTCTTTATAGGAGGGAAGCAAAGGGAGATCACAGATGGGAGAGGCCATGTGAGGGAAGCAGAAGCAGAGAGAGAAGATGGAGGTAGGGGCCGTGAGCCCCTGGAAAAAGCAAAAAACCAGATTTTTGCCTAGCATTTCTGGAGAGAGCACAGCCCTGATGACCAGTTGATTTTAGCCCCTGAAGGCTCATTTTGGAATTCTGATTTCTAGAATTATAAGAAAATTAATTTCTGTTGCTGTAAGCCACCAAATTTGTGGGGGCTTTGTTAGAGCAATCATAGAAAATGTATACACAGGGTATGAATTTTTGTATTTAAATTTAAAAATATGACTATGTATACACATGAAGACATTAAGACTTGAAGAAAATACAGTCAAATGTTAATAGTGGCTAAATCTGTTGGTAAGATTATGAGTGATTTTTTTTGGGGGGTCATTACTATAACTTCCTGAATTTTCTAGGGTTTCAAGAAAAAAAATCTAACAGTCTCGATTTTTTTTCTTTAAAACTTAAAGGAATATTATACAATTTTAAAGAATCTTAAAATCCTGACACATACTACAACATGACTGAAACTTGAGGACATTATGTTAAATAAAATCAGTTACAAAAAGACAAATACTGTATGATTCCACTTTCAGAGTAGTCAAATTTTCAGAGGCAGAAAGTAGAATGCCATGGGTTGGGGGAAGGAAGGAATGGGTGTCATTGTTTAATAGGCATAGAGTTTAGTTTGCAAGATGAAAAGGGTTCTGGAGATTGGTTATATGACAATGTGAATGTGCCTAACACTGCTGACCTGTACACTTAAAACTGAATAGATAACAGATTTTTTATTGCGTATATTTTACTGGCCACCCCTTCACATAAGCTTTAGGCTTGTCCCTTGACATCCTCTTCTCTATAGATTCTCCTGTTTTTGCTTTTGTCTTTATTCTTTCACTCTTTGCTCAGTCATTTTCCTCTGCCTCTGAACGTGTTCACGTCTTTCAGGGTTTTGTTAGACCTCTGCGAGTATGTTAATCAATCACTCTTTTTTGAAATGTTTCTTGTTTGGTTTTTATGACATAATTTATATATTGCACATATACTCTCCTTACAGACAGATATACACAGCTCAAAACACTGATCTCTGTTGTCTTTCCAACATCCACACCAGGGGCCATGTGCAAAGACAGACCGACTCCTTTCTCTCTTCCACCCCTGCGTATAACCCTGTCTTGTCTGGGTATTCCAATAGTTCAGTCATGCCTTGTTCTTCCCACTGTGAGCAGAGTGATCCATGTATATGATAAACCTGGCTACACCACTTTCTGCCTTAAAGTCCTTCAGCTAAGGTGCACACCCTTAAGTATGGTATCCAACACCCTCCATGACAAGGTCCCTACCTGCCTGTCCAAACTCCTCTTCTACCAGACCCATAGCTGAAATTACCTTTCATGACCAACCACTTTCATAAGTTGCTGTAGCCAATTTCTGGGCCTCCTGCCACTCCTCATTTCCTCTGGCTGGAAAACCCTTCCCTTCCACCTCACTGGACTAATACAGAGCCATTTTACTGCATTTAGCTTAGGCATCCTCTCCTCTAGTTCTCAATGTTCCCATAGTGCCCTGGGAACAGGTTGTTACCTTAACAGGTTATATCCAAGTTAACTATGTGTCTGTCTTCCCACTAGCTGGTAAGCTCTTTAAGGGCTGGGACCATCTCTCAAGTCATGTTGGTGTTCCCAGCACCTAGCACAGCGCTGGCACATAGTAGTCACTCACTTAGTGTTAATTAAAAATGATTAGTGAAAAACACTTTCGCTGATAAGTTATATCTGTAATCCATCAAACATTTAAAGCCCTTTTCCCTGACCACCATTGCCTTAATTATAAATTTTGATAGCACAGACAAAGAAATGAAATTCTGATAAAGAGCAATAAGATCTCTAGAGGTTAGACATTTAATTTTTCCATTAAAATTTGACATTTATTTTAGTAAGCCATGCTTTTTTGGGGGGCGGTGTGGATCTTTTGATCTCTGCAGTCCTAATATGCAGGACTGAAACGAAGCAGCCCCACAAATAGATGTTCTGCAATACATACACCCATAGCTCCATCACTTTGCCATCTTCCCTTCAACTGGTCCATGATTTTGGATCCATTGTAAGACAGTGCAGAGTGGAGCCCCTTTGAAACGGAACCAACAAGGAAAAGCTAGCTAAACATGTGACATAGCGGAGTTGTCAACTTCCCCAGGCTGTGGGTCTCCAAGGCCCTGGAGTAGCCCCCGGTATCAGTTGAAGCCCTCTGAGAGGCCAACTGCCCCCAGGAGACAGGCTGGCACCCCATATGCCCGCCGGCTCCCGCCGCAGAGGTCGCCGCCGCTGGACAGCTCAGCCACGGTCACGTGCC